TGTGATTCCAAGTTTTTCTTCTTCCATAAGGAAAGAGAGCATTTACTTCTGCTTAGTAGCCATCTTTATATCCATACTTTGAATGAATGCATACATTCTAGAACTATAAAAATATCAATTAGCAATTTGATACAAAGGTTTTATTAGATTGGGTTAGCTTTTATATTTTCTGATTTATAAATGCCATAGTGAATTCTTAGGACATGATAGATATTTGGTTTTGTTGTTCTATGTTAATATTTCATAACACAAGGAATTATGGGAAAATAGTTGCTGATGAATAGTGAAGTTTATCAGTGATCTCTTAGTCCAAATAAAATAAGGGCATTTCCAAGCAAAATATTCATTCTTGAAAAGAGCTCAATAATATAGAAGGTGTTTACAATTAGGTCATTGAAGGCTCTCTACAAGTAAGTAATGTATATTCTGGAGGTGGACTTGACTGCTTTGATTGAAAACTAAGGATGTTTCCATATTGTTAAGTCTTAGAACTTAACTAGTCTGCATAATATTATTTGTATATTTTCAGAGCAGACTGTTTGATATTAGATAACTAACTGATATGTTCTTCCTTGGGGAAGACTAATTCTCTTGCTTTCAGCATTCCTTTATTGCCCATAGGCCCTTTGCTAGGGTTGAGCCCATGGGCTTTTCAAGGTCCAATTTGGCATGTCTATTAGTGGACTGTTTGTTCAGCTCACTTTTTGGATAGTGATGCTGATGAGAATTTGTGGATGTAGCTTCTTACATTGCTAGGAGACTCAATCTCATAGAAAAATTCCTTGATCTTCTGTATCTTGCAATCTTTAAACAGGACATTTTTATGACAGGTTACAAGCCTCTCTTCAAAGACACCTAGTAGTAGTGTTGAGTGATTTAAGGCTCATTTATGATGCCAAGGATATTTGTTAGGACTGAGATTATGTCTCTTGCACTTCTGGAGAATCTCAAACCTTTTATAAATAAGAAATAGATGCTTTCCTCTTTGATTTTTGAATAGATTCATTGCACAGTAGTTTCTTCACTAAAAATGATTTTAATTTTCAAACTTTTAAAAAATTCTTTGATGAATTATATTTGGCCATAATAACCATCACTTTAAAATTTGTAATTTGTCAATCAATGCTTACATTGAATTAGTGCCATGTGTCAGGCACATGTGTTTGAAATGCAAATAAGACAAAACATGTGATTCCTAAATTCCTTGAGCACTTGGGACAGATTCAGGTTCATGATAAGCATATAGTGTAGCAATGTTCCATATCTTTGTAGTGTCACTATTATATTCATGTATATGTAGTTCTGCCTTGCTGGCAATGGATACATGTGGTGTTCTACATTTCTTCATTTTGAGAAAAAAAATCTGTTTTGCAGTGAAATGAGTTGTCTTGACATCTGCTCATTGGCAGTTTATATATACCTTACTTTTGTTATCCTAAGATCAACTTTGGCAAGTTTTTCCACTTGTCAGAGGATGCCAGTAGCTTGTCTGAGACCACCAGTCTTTGATGACATGATCAAAATTTAAATGGATAGTTTTGGTCCAAAAGTTTTGACTTTACTCCAAAAGAAGATACAAAAATCTTTGCAAGCAATAAATATAATATATTTGTAGATCTGTTAGCTTTCTGAGTTATAATATTTAAAACTAGTAAAATAAAACATGTAAATGATAAATGACAAAAAGGAATAGATAATATGAATATTGTGAGAAAAACATCTTTTACTTTTTGTTGTTGTTGTTTAGACAACATGTCTTGTCTCAAACTTACCACTTTTGATCTTGAATTTCTGATTCTCCTCTTCTGCCATAACTGTTGCTTTTTATGGCACTGGGAATTGAGCCCAGGACTTCATGCATGCTAGGTGAACACTGTACTAACAGAGCTACAGCTACAGCCATACATTCTTTTACTTTATTTTTAAAGATGAGAAAACTCATTTCTCATGATAGCCTTACTGGATTTGTTTTTCTTGGTACATATAGCATAGGTCATGGGTGTTATTTGCCATGAATATGTATCATCAGGGCTGTGAACCACAACCTATAGCATCATTTATAAACTTCACTTCAATTACACAGTTGGCTTTCTGTAATTGCTTCTCTCATTTTTTGAAGTTGTGGTTATGCCTCTGTAACATTTGTGTGTTTGAAATTAGATATAGCAGATGAAGTAAGTAATCCTCCCCCTAGTTTTGGATGAGTGAGATCTATTCAACTGTTTTACATACAGCATTGGGATATGGTATGCCCATTCTTTCCTCGATTTCATTTCCTAGGTTAGTGGCAATTCACGATGTATTACTATATCAATTCACACTAAAATTATAATAATAAAAAGTGAGCCAAGAAAATAATCCATCCAAGTACCATGTAGCCAGAATAAACTAAAATTTAAATGTGAATATTAGTTTTAATATAATTCATAGAATTTAAATATAGCATAAATCTCATGGAAAGATAAAAAAGTCTAATTGATAAAAATAACTTTATTATATCTTATGTCCTGTAATTTAAATTAATTAAAATTCACTTTATTTTAAAACCATAAAAGGAACATCTCTAACCTAAGTTACCAGTACCATTTTAAGCTAAAAAATAAGTAGTGTAATAAAATCATCTTCTAAATGCAAAGGCCTATAATGAGAAAATTCAACTGTTTGCCTCATTGTAAATTAATGTGTTTTCTCATTCAGCCAATATTTATTGAGTGCCTTTGCAGTGAATTGAGCAGAATCTATGCCCATAAGGAGCTTTCTGAAAGAAAAAGACTGTTCTGAGAAAACAATTAGTAAGCCAATTCCAGATTGTGGTAATTGCTTGAAGGTAGTGAACAGAAAGCTACGATGAAGCAGGAGTTAAGGCAATCACCCTGGGTAAGATGCTCAGGAGGAGCTTCTCCCAGGACCTTGGTTTTGAGTGATGGATGGGGAAAGAGGGACTCTGTGAGAACCAGAGTGGGGCATGGGGCAGACCATGATGTAGGCAGAGAGAACAAAGATGAATGCTGACAGACTTTGCAAGAAGCAATAGTAGGAGATGATGATGGGAAAGAAAGAGGAACAGTATGCACAACATAGTAAGAAAAGTCAGTCAGAGTTTAGGATTACCATGAAAGAGCCAATAACATTTTTAAACAGAGGCATAATGAAATCTACTTTATGTTTTCTTTGGACCATGGAAGCAGGAAGACAGATGGAAAAGTCATGAGGTCCAGCTCCTGCATTGAACTATAGATGAAGCATTGGGGACAGACTCATAGGAGACAGTGGGATGGTGGAGACTTGAGGAAGAAGGACCAACAGGACTCACTTGAAAAGGAAGAAATCAACAAGAAACCTTCTCCAGGACCCTTTTTTTTTGTCATACCAACAGCTAAACTAAAATTAAGAAACATAACTATGAATAACAAATTACATATTCCTGGTCTGCACTGTGAATTAATTCTCAGGTTTATCTGAGTGTGTCCCCAGAGTGAGGCTACATGGATTACTGTATTACAATATGATTTCAGTTTAGAAAGTTTAGTCGCGACTCTTTCTTCCAGGACAAGGTTCAATTTCATTTTTTCCATACTTAGCAGAACTCAGAGCTCCTCATATTAAGGCAAATCTGGATTGGTCATATCCATTATTAATTTCTGTTTGTAATTTCCTTCAGCAGATACTCATATTTAAAGAGCCTAATATATGTTAACACTCAGTTAGCTTCTGTGAACAAAACTGGAGTTCATACCTGAGTCTAGAGCTTTATGTTCCTTAATGATATTGTGTGGAAACTTTGTAAATCATTTACAACTATAAGCTTTGTGGCTTCTTGTAGGTTGTCAGTACAAACATCAATGTGAAACAATGATCAAGAAATTAAATGCCAAAAGAGCATATCAATTCCTCCCTGGTATAAGATCAACAAAGACACACTTTCTAAGCAACCAAGAGAATATCAGATTACTAAGGAAAAATAATCAGATGTAGATAGAAGGGCATGTGTTGTATGTTAGTGATGATGCTTACAAAGTACAATGTGATTTAGACAAGCTTGAAACATGATAGATCCAAACTAAGATGGCAGAAGATTATATCTTAGTCTTAAGGAAGAATGGAATAAAACAAATGTGAGACTCAGTGGAGTTTTTTTTTTTTGACACAATTGCCTTAGATACAGATAGAACTACCTCACCCTCAAGGCATTCTGGAGACTTGTGAGAATTGCCTTAGAAACACAAGTAGATGATTTAGATTCAAGTAGTTCGTGGCCCATTGGACACTTACATTGTCTAGTCTCTTCAGAAGCCAGCAGGAGTTTTATAACGGAAAATAGTCTTCAAAAGATTCATCACTCCCTTTTGTGGAAACTTAGGCTAGGAATCAGTCTCTAAGAGTGCTAGTTTCCATTGTTTCCTCTTCTGCGCTTGGCTTTAAACACTAACAACATATATTACCATTTCTCTTCCAGAATCACAACTACGGCTGCCTGCATGATGGACCTAAGGCGGTATCCACTGGATGAACAAAACTGCACCCTGGAGATTGAAAGCTGTAAGTCCCTGAGAATCCAGATAAGCTGGACTCCTGGTTTGAGAGTCATCTTCGACACAGATCTGCTATATAGGATTGTGTCTAAAGCAATGGTACTGCAAGTTGCCAGAGGAGTAATTGAAATTTGGTCCAGGCAGACAATGACAGTCTCTCTCCTCCATGATGCTGTCACCTTCTTACATCTATCTCTAAATCCTGTGGAGTATATTTAGAAAAAATGTGATTTGTCAATTTTTAAAAAATGACACTAATACTCTGTAATGACATCCTAGGGTATTCAGACATTTAAAACCTGAAATTGGTGCAAAGAGTTAAAACAAGCTAGAGAAAATATGGGAAGGTAATAACATATCATAAAATATCCTGATTACCCTTAAAACTCATAAATGTTATCCCTTACAGTTATTAAATGAATTGTGGAATGTGGCCATGAAGACTGCTTGGAGGTTGAACCATGGATTATTTATTTGTTTTTGCATGAAGCAGTATTTTCAGTGTTGGAAGCTTTTATCTTCTTGTGGAAGGTCAAAGAGCATAGAGTGAGCAAGACTGGTTTCTGTGTATGTGCCTCTGTGTACATATTTGTTTATTTTATTTATGATGCTGACCTGTTTTGTAATGAGTTTGCTTTTCTGCACCATGAATTTCTTGATAATGAGTTATTCATCTGTCCTGCAGGATGGGCCAAGATGTTGATTGTTTATTAGTTTTGCAACCCAGACATCTAGCTAGTTTAAGGGAAAGGAAGTTTTAAGCTATTTTTCTCCACCCTTGCTTGGGACAAGTTTTGTAGTTTATCCCAGTCCATAGTTGGATGCAGACAATTTTAATCCACTGTTCTGGACAGCAAGTGGCTGTCTGAGAGGATGTTTTCTGCCAAATCACTTCTCTGAGCAGACATAGATGAAACTTTGTGCATATTTTTACTCATTTATAAAAGATTGCTTCTAGGCTTAATGAAATCTACATACACTTGTAAAGAAACTAATTGCATGCTTATATTCTAACATCATTATTTCCAAATTTGTTCTTTGCATTTAAAAAAACTAGTTAATGAAATTGGCCAGAGGATTTCAATGATTAATTTTATGTAAATATCTTTTGGATAACATTGCATGTTATATGTGCTTAACTTATGGTACAATATTTCTCAAAGACCAAAGTCTTAGGCAGTTTCAGAAGCTCAGTGGGACAATTTTTTGAAAAAAGTTTGCTTCTGGGTACCACTTATTTTTTATTATGATGATATTTTTGGAGGTAAAATTTTACTGGGCTCATAAAGAATCATAGTTATGCACAGATGGAACACTCTCACTGATCTTTTGTGGTTTTCTCAAAAAAAAAACTGTTCCTTTTATCTTAAATAAGGAATGCCAGCTATAGCAATGCAGGCAATGCTCAAAGGTTATATCACAACTTGAAAATGTCTATTTTTAAAATTAATACTATACATTTCAATTTATATTCTTCAGTTCTATTTCTAGTTGCTATGTTAAATGACATTCTTGGTAATATTTATGCTTTATAACCAGGGAAATAGACCCAAAAATATTTCTCTATTATCATTTATCTCCTAAGAGGCAGAATAACTTGACTGATATGATCATAGATCATTAGTATGTCTTAATAAAGACACTGGACTTGGATGGACCAGATTAAGTCATTTCTTTTCTCAATGCCTCAATCTAAAGATAATTGGTACTTACAGATTTATTCAGATAGTTGTTATGGTAGAAACAAAATATGATGCCATGTTGACTATACATGTGATATGTTGGCATTTGTTTTGTGTTTTGCTGAAAGTTTTGTAAGTTCTATTCCATAAACAAGAAGTTCCTGGATGATGCTTGGCATCTAGGTGATATCCCCCTCAGCCAATTGTTTCCTTTAGTAGCCAAGGGAGTCATCATACTCTTAACTATCCTCCCTTTCTTCCCTCCATCCATGTTTCTTTCTCTCATTCCTACTCATTCTTTCTCTCCTCCCCTCCTTTCTCTTCATAGCCCGCAAATTACAAAGGCACCAATAGTATTGTTAAATCATTATTAACTATTAGGATGTTAACAATAAATATATTGGTTCACATTCAATAAAAATGGAATAACCTATGTCTAGGAAGCTTAGAGTAAGGGGTGAATCCTGTTCATTCATTCAAGAATTACTTTCTTCATTAAACATTCATTGGACACTAATTACTAGGCACAATAAGATTAGAGATATAGTAGACAGAATAAAATATAATGTTCTTATAAATTAAAAAATATTGGCAGGATGAGTTCTTTAATAATTTAAGTTAAAGAGAATTTAAAACAAGTATTGGAATCTATCTTGAGAAGTCTAGGTGGTCATTATGGACTACCTAAGTCATGACTACCATAAGATCAGCATCACCTTATAATATGTCAGAAATTCTTGAACACAGGAGGTAGTGAGTAGATAGATTTCTGGTCTAACCTGATACAGTGATGGGGGCTGATTTGAAATACAGATAGAATAGTTAATACAGCTTCTTCATTGAACTAAGCAAGTATTAGCAGTTGTTCTTCAAATTATTGTTTATTAGCCATATAACACTATTATGTTTAGAGATACCGAAGTAAGCAAGGAAACATTTCTGTACCATGCTTGGACTAGTGACTTTCCTAGGCAATAGCTCTTATCCTAATAATATCATTATTGATATTATCAAATTGTTCCTACAATATTGGACTCAATTAAAGATACAACACTTTACAACATACAGATCTAGCAATCAGAACAACCAAAGCAAAAATATAAATAATATATAAAACAGACAGCTTAATGATCCCATAGAAGAAACTGGAGTTGGAGCTGTGTAGACTCATTTACCTTGAGGAAAAACATTGATTATGGAAGGGAAGGATGCAGCATTCAAATAATAAGTGCATTATTTCCTCTTAAGGAAGTTGCTTTATCTGTCCTAGAGAAAAAAATAGACCACTGCTAAAGATGCCAGAAAGCAATTTAGGTCAGAAAAGTTAAAGAAAAGCTCTTGGCAATTATAGCTAGTGAAAATCAGATGGGTTGCTGTATTCTGCAAGACCATTTACTGAGCATGAAGAAATTATTTTATTAGGGAAGTGATGAGATTATAAGCTTTCTGAGTAGCTGTGGGTTGAGGGTTACTTGGCACCAGCAAAAGCCAAAAGAGTTTAATTAAAGGATGATAAGGCAGCATTGGTTTATGTAACTCTGCAGAGCCCATCTGCATATACCTCAGGGAGCAGTGCTGTTTAGGAAAAGAAAAAAAATC